CCTACTATTTCTCAAACTTTCTTATGTTTCTTTTGCCAGCCTTGCTATTATCTATGGAGTGTTTTCAGCTTCTAATCTCATTGCACCATCTGTGGTAGCAGTTGGCGGACCGAAGATGTCAATGGTTTTCAGTGGAGTTGTTTACAGGTAATGCTGGACCCTATTGGGTTTTTGTCTCTTACAATTCTGGTGGATCGGACACCAGATTCTCAGCGAAGGCACAGAAAAATTATGAATTTTTTTGCCGGAATCTGTGGACTATCATTTCATGTTGCAGATTGTAATAACTCAGGAAACCTGCCTGGAAGGAAACATCGTTTATTGTTGAACACCAAAATATTGCCACTATTTTGACGTCCCTGCCTGGGACAGAAAGTTCTGCAGACCCATCCCTGGGCCTGCTTTTTTTTATATCTGGAAGTGCTCTTACACAGAACTCAATAGCTTTCCCAACATCAAATCACTGTGACTTTTTTTTTTGTTTTTAACTATTAACCGCCATTAGTAAATTATCTGTGTAGCCAGTTAGATATTTACATGCAAAGCCCATTACAGGCCATGTGCACTGTCAAATGTGAGGAAAGAATGGGGAGAATGGAAGGGGCTAAATCAAAATAGAGTTGGAGGGGGAAATATTGTATCCTTATGGTGCCCACCTCTCTCTGAAGGCATTGAGTGCATTGATGGACACCACATGCTCCACCTCCAACAGCGCCCAACTGAGTCTGCTTTTTTTAGTCAACCTGATCAGTCATGTCATCTGGTGAAGGTGGTTTGGAGGTAGGAACACAACCACTGCACCACAAGGGCACGTTTCCCTGGGTCTGCTTTTTAAAAATATTTTCTAATGAACCTGTTCACCTCTGGAGCAGGTGGGATGAGAATCTAGGTCTGCTGGCTCAAGGGTAGGCACACTACCACCATGCCACAAGACCCCTTCTGGGTCTGCTGTCTAGATATTTTTAATCAAGCTGTTCAGGGATGTTATTACACACCTCTGGATCAGGTGGGACTTGAACCCAGGTCTCTTGGCTTAACATAGAACAGTACAGGCCCACGATGTTGTGCCGAACTTTCACCCTAAATCTAAGGTCTATCTAACCTCCCACCCCTACCTTATACTATCATCCATATGCCTATCTAATAGCCTCTTAAATGCCCCTAATGAGGCCGACTCCACTACCCTCTCCAGCAATGCATTCCATGCCCCTACCACTCTCTGAGTAAAGAACCTACCTCTGACGTCTCCCCTATATCTACCTCCACTCACTTTAAAACTATGCCCCCTTGTAATAGCTACCTCTACCCTAGGAAAAAGTCTCTGGCTGTCCACTCTATCTATACGTCTGATCATTTTGTACACCTCTATCAAGTCACCTCTCATCCTTCATCGTTCTAAAGAGAAAAGTCCTAGCTCTCTCAACCTTTCCTCATAAGACCTTCCCTCCATTCCAGGTAACATCCTGGTAAATCTCCTCTGCACCTTTTCCAACACTTAAACATCTTTCCTGTAATGAGGCAACCAGAACTGGACGCAATACTCCAGATGTGGCTGAACCAGGGTTTTGTATAGCTGGAGCATAACTTCACGGCTCTTGAACTCAATCCCTCTATTAATGAAAGCTAACACACTATTCGCCTTCTTAACAACTCTATCCACCTGGGTGGCAGCTTTCAGGGAACTGTGGACATGAACCCCAAGATCCCTCTGCTCCTCCACACTGCCAAGAATCTTTCCGTTAATCCTGTATTCTGCTTTCAGATTTGTCCTTCCAAAATGAATCACCTCACACTTTTCAGGGTTAAACTCTTCTCAGCCCAGCTCTGCATCCTATCAATGACCCTTTGTAACCTAGAACAGCCCTCCGCACTATCCACAACTCGACCCACCTTCGTATCGTCCGCAAACTTACTAATCCACCCTTCCACTCCTACATCTAAATCATTTACAAAAATCACGAATAGAAGAGGACCCAGAACAGATCCTTGTGGTACACCACTCGTAACTGAGCACCATGTTGAATATTTTCCGTCCACTACCACCCTTTGTCTTCTAAGGGTCAGCCAAATCTGAATCCAGTCTGCCACATTTCTCCCTATCCCATGCCTCCTTACTTTCTGCGTGAGCCTACCATGAGGAACCTTATCAAACGCCTTCCAATGTTGGAAGTAGGGGATTGTGGGAAATTGTGTTCAGCTGTTGTTAGTTTAATCAAGTCCAAAACTAATTTTGGTCATACTTTTCCAGCACACTTTATTTCATTATGAATGATAAAATACTTTAATTATTCCCAATTAACCCTTGAAGGAACTGAAATGTTGGCTGGGCAGTTGGCACTTTACATCCTTTAATGTGCTGGGTTGGAGCCAGTACATGTTGGTTATAAATAGAGATGCCTTTGAAAATAGATTATGGCATTGTACTATTTGGGGGAAACGTCTGAATGCTCCCCTGTTCTTATGACTGTCTGTTTCACAAGCATCTGGAATGAAGCTCAGATTTGTGGCCTTGTTCCTGCCCTTTATTGTTGGTGTGTTTTTTTTGTTTATCCCCAGCAGTTACGTGGTTTCATTCAGTAAGCCAATGCATTGGTCATTCTACATTACCTCTATCCTCATTGGATTTGCTGCAGCTGGTGAGTGGAATGCTTCTTGAACCTTTATTTCCAAATCTCAGTTCCAGTATATCTCCACTCATGGAATCACAGAATCCCTACAGTGTGGACACAGGCTATTCGGCCCTCTAGTCCACATCACCCACCCAGACCCATGCCTCCCTGTGGAACTGAGAAACTGAAAGTTAGCTTATACCAGGGGAAGCCGCAGGGCTTAGGAGAAGCCTGCAATCATTAACACTTTGCAATCTGAAAAAGCCACTAGAAGTATTTGTTTGATTCAACTGAGCAAAATTAGAGCTCAGTGGAAACTTGGGTAATCCTGCATTTCCCGTGACTAATCTACCTAACCTGCTCATTTTTTGGACTGTGAGAGGAAACCATAGGAAACCCACACAGACTCAGGGAGAACATGCAAAATCCACATAGACAGTTGCCTGAGGGTGGAATCGAACCCCGGTCCCTGGTGCTGAGAGGCAGCAGTGCTAATCACTGAGCCACCATGCTGCCCTGCCATCTTCTCTCCTGAGGAGCCCCATCTGCCTCGTCACTATCTCCACACCTTGGAGATGTCTCCTCATCATCTGTTTCAAATGAGTGATCAATCTTTGTGCATGAGCTCAGACAATGAGAATCCATACGCTGTTGAGGTGAGAGGGGTAGAAGTGATGAGTAGATTAAGAGGGATTTGCAGCGAATTCTAGTCACAGCTTGAACAGATTTCCACATTCCCTACTAACCAGAGCAGTAATAGGATTGGAAATCCTGACCATCTTTCTGCCCACTTCCTCACACCAGGGACTCCAAACTCAGCTGTAGCCCCAATCACTATCTCACCGTATGCCAGTTAACTCAATACAGGAGACATCTCTGTCCATGTTCTCCCTTCTCTTTCAGTGCTATGGACTGCTCAGGGGAACTTCCTTATCTTGAACTCTGATTGCACCACTATCAATAGGAATACGGGGACCTTTTGGGCTCTGTTACAATCCAGGTAAGGAACTGCAGACTCTTAAAAGTACTGGGCAACATAGATATAGTCTGACCCTTTAATATTCTTTCTATGTCCAGTATGGTGCCTGGTATAATCTGATGGACTGGACTATCCCTCTTTCTAATGGGATAATAGAAACATACAGCATACAAGGAGGCCATTCAGCCCATTACATCCATGATTGGTTTGAATGACAGGACATTCACTTTGAGGATACATACCAGCATGGAACAGTTGAATGAAATGGTCTGTTTTGGTGTTGTAAATTGCATGTAATTCTGTGTCCTGGGATATCAATATACTGTTCTGAGTGAGAAGTGGATATGATATTGTTTTTTCAGTTCTGCCACCTCATCTAGTAATGTGCCCAAAATAATCTACTGTGATGGGGAATCTCAGTCCTAGTGTTTTACTTTGGGTGTCTGATACATTCACCTCTCAACCAACATGTTTGATGTGTTTTTACAGCATGTTGTTTGGAAACCTTTATGTTTACCTACAATGGAGAGACACAACAACAATCTCAGGTAAAGGACTGACTTTTCTTCCAGCTTTATCATTTTAAGGTGCGGGAGAGACCAAGAAATGTGAAAAGCAGTGATGGGTAAAGTTTGTCAGGGGCATTAGGGGTGCATGGGGCTTTTGACTGTGTAGGGTAATGGGGTAATAGAAGGTCATGATGGGTATGTTGAAGGATCAGGGCGACAAGACAAAAGGACTTGTTTGTGTGAATGGAAAGATGACAATCATAATGAGGTAAGGGAGCATTTAACCCTGTGGGTGCCTTGAACAAAAGGTCAATTTGGGAACCCAGCATTTCCCTAGACAGTGTCAGATATTTCAACAAGTCTAATATGGATCCCCTCAGTCTCCTGACTGCCTCAGATTTTCTGTCTCTCACAGCTCCTCTGGATTTTGTTTGAATTCATTTGTGGCATGTGGACATTGCTGGCTAAACCAGGATTTATTGCCCACCTCTAATTGCACTGGAGATGGTGAACTGCGTTTAGGATTGGAGTTCCAGAATCTTGACCCAGCAACTTTGAAGGAACAGATATAGTTTCAAATTAGGATGATGTGGGGATTGGAAGGGACCTTGGAGGTGGGGACATACCCATGTATCTGCTGATGGTTTCCTTCTATATGGTAGTGGTTGAAAGTTTGGAAAGTACTGTGAAAAGAGCCTGGTGCATTACTGCGGTTCATCTTGTAGACGAAACACATTGCTGCCACTACGTGTTAGTGGTGAAGAGATTGAATGGTTGAAAGTGTTGAATGGAGTTCCCATCAAATGGACTGCTTTGTCCTGGATGGTGTCAAGCTTCTCGAATGTTATTGAAGCTGCACTCGTCCAGGCAAATGGAGAGTATTCCATTCTCCTGAATTGTGCCTTATATATGGTGAACAAGTTTTGAGGAGACAAGAGGCAACTCACTTGTCACAGCTTTCCTAGTGTCTGACTTGCTGTTGTCGCCAAAGTATTTATATGGCTAGTCCAGTTCAGTCTTTGGTTAACGGTAACCCTCAGGCTGTTGGTAGTGGGCTTTCAGTGATGGTAATGCCATTGAATGCCAAGGCGTGATGCGTAGATTCAGTCTTATTGGAGATGATCATTGCCCCACACTTATATGGCACAAATGTTACTGGCCACTTATCAACCCAGGATGTTGTCCAGGATTTGTAGTCAATGGACACAGACTGCTATAGTGTGAGGTGTCTTGAATGGTGCTGGACTTTGAGGAGTCATCAGTGAACATTCTGACCTTATTAAGGTGGGAAGGTCATTTATGAAGCAGCTGAAGATGATTGGATCTAGAACATTGCCTTGACAAGCTCCTTCAGAAATGTCCTGGAGCTGAGATGGCTCCAACAACTATAACCATCTTCCTTTGTGCTGGAAATGATTCAACCAGCAAGAGGCTTCTTCTAATTCCCATTAACTCCATTTTTGCTTGGGCTCCTTGATGCCAGTGGATTAGATGCTCCCTTGATGTCGAGGGCAGTCAATCTCACCTCACCTCTGGAGTTCAGTTCTTTAGTTGATAGTTGAGCTATCAGTATTGGAAATACACATCCTTGTAATGGTCAACCAAAAAATATTTTCTAAGCAACCTGTATCAAAGATGTTATTACACAGCTCAAGTTGGACTTGAGCCCAGGCTTCCTGGTCTAGAGGTAAGGAAACTATCACTGTGTCACAAGAGGTTGATTAGAAAATGTGCAAAAAAAGTGGTACACCTGAAGCCTTTAGTTCATTTTGAAAATAAATAATCCGAAGTGATTCCATTAGGTGTAGGGAAAATTTGTGATGTTTGTGAGTGTGGTCTGTGTGGTTTGGTGAAAGGTGGTAATGTCAGTTTCACTCTGGTTGCGCTGTACATGTCTGCTTATAAAACTAAAATGTTTTTCATACTTTTAAAATATTTAAAATAAAAGTAAAATTTGTCTTAAAAAAACTGGGTTTGTGAAAAACAAGGAAAAAATGTAGTTCCATTTTGATTTAGTCCCCACCCTCTCTCCCTTTATTTACCCGTACTTTTTGGTGTTATTGCATTGCCCCTAATTGGCTTTGTATGTGGTATTGGTAATTGATTGGTGATTTGGTGATGGAAAAAATACCATTCAGTTGTGCATGAAAGCACTTCTGGGTATGAAACAAAATATTTTAAAAAACATGGGCACTCCTATAAGTATGCGTGCAAATTGGTAATTGAACCAGAAACTCAGGTGATTTAGTGGTGGATTGCAAAGGAAAGAATAACACGGGTGAATTGGTGGTGGAAAACAAACACTGTTCAATGATGCATTTAGAAATGCCTTATTTCCCCCTCCAAATCCATTTAATTTAATCCCTTCCCTTTCTTCCTCACCTTCCCTTGGTAAGTAGTGCTTGTTAGTTGTTTTTTGATTGGTGATTGGTGATTGATTTTTTGGTGATTTTATGGTACGTATAAAAAAATTTGGGGGCTGGACTGCATTATTTTCCCCTCCAAATCCATTCTTATCTTAGTCAGCAGTCATTACAGAGTCAACATTAGGCGAGCTTTTAATTATAGATTTTGTTGAATTCAAGTTTCAATTCTTACCACGGTGGAATTCATGCCCCTTTTCCTAAAATATCAGTCTGAGGTTTTGAATTAGCAGTCTAGTGACATTACCAGCACCCTGCTGTTTCTCTTTGACCTCCTTGACTGTCTTGAACCTTCTAACCATCTGGGCCTCCCTGTCCACCTCAGGCTTACTGACCCACAAATGGGACAATAGCATAATTCCACCATGGCCTCCACTAGCTCAGGTACTGAGTGATCTATATACAGGACATGCCTCACTGTGGTACAGAGTTCCTCTGATACAGGATCGAGTCTCTTGCCTCTGAATAAGTAGGTCCTGGGTTTGAACCCATTACAAAACAACATGATTCCATAATCAGGCTGACACAGTATTGAGGGAGTTCTGCACTCCTTTTCTAATCAACCTGCTCTCAGATGTTATAACACACCGCTGGAGTAAGTGGAACTTGAACCCATGCCTCCTCCTCAGAAGTAGGAAAAATACCATTGCACCACTGAAATAACTCCACAGAGGCCGGTATCCCATCACCAAGTCACCCTTTTTTTGACACATGGCAAGCCCTTGACACTGATCCAGCTCTCTCAGAGCCAACTCTCAGAGTGAACATGATGTCTGACACTCCTGTTCATATCTCTCAGCCAGGGCTCCCTGATTGGACCAGATTAACAGCCCCAAAATGGGAACTCATATTCTATGAGGTCCGCCTGACTAACCTTGTTACAATCACTGCAACCACAAGAGCCCTAAAGTTATACACTGTTCTTTTTCTGAGTCGCAGGCAATGACTAGTGGGGTAGATGTTTTGTAATCAACCTGTTGTTACACATCTCGCACTTTGAAATGTCTAGAGATTTGAAGAAAAATTTTGGAAATGCAAGTTTATTTTTCTTTTTGACTTGTCAGATCATGATAGGAGTACTTTGTTTATCGTATTGTTCGTGATCTCTCTTGCTGGGACAGTCATCCTACTTGCACTGAAAAGCACCAAAAATGTGGACCACTACTCTGAGATCAATGATCCTCTACTTCTTGACCCTAGACCGTAAGTACTCAAGTGAAAACCAGTACACTGGCTCTCCTCCATTTGTCATGGATGGTTCTAAATTCAGGCAGATAAATCCCATGCAGTTCTAAAACTGGTCACTGCAGAATGCAAGAAAAATTTCTTACCCTGTTCCTGATTACCCAGGCTGAGATCAAGATCTCACTGTATTGCAATAAACAATGTGTCAAACCCAAAACAAGAAATCATTGGAAAAATTATTAAAAGCACATTTGTGTCAGACATCGCTCTGTGGCAATGCTGTTGTCTGAGAGTCAGAAGGTCATGGGTTGAAGTCCAACTCTAAAGACTTGAGCACAAAATCCAGGCTGACAGTCCAGTGTAAATTTTAGGAGTAAGGCAAATTCAAATGCCACCTACCCATTCATCCTATCTCAGGATGTTAGGGATCCTGAGGCATTATTTCAGACATGCGCAAGGGTGTTATCCCGTTGTCCTAATCCATGTTTTTTGTTCAGATAACACCTCAAAAAGATTTTCTTTGTCAGCAACAAATTTGTGTTTTTGGATGTGGCATCTTGTCACATTTCCTACATTACAACAGTGACTGTACCTGGCTGCAAAGCAGTTTGGGACATCCAGAGGTAGTCAAAGGTGCTATATAAATCAACTCTTTCTTTCCTTTTTACTTTTATATTAGTCTTTATAACCATATGATTCATTTCAATGTTGACTAGGTTTAAAGAGAAGGCGATGTCGACCCTGGATCAGATTACATCAGAGTTCAGTAAGTTGTTCCTGTGCACAAGTGCCGGAGGCTGCTGAACTCATTCCGGACATCTGTTCCTGTCAAATGCCCCCAAATGTGATATGGTTCTGAATTGACACCTTTTGGCAATGGGTATAGTCTGGAGAAGATGGTATAGTGCTTGAGGGGTGATTGAGAGATATAGTAGATTAGTGATTTAGGGGTATGGTGGACTAGTACTTGAGGGGTATGATGGGATAAAGACTGGATGGTAGAGTGGGTTAGTTAATGGAGGAATAAGGTGAGTTAGTGATTGGAGATGTGTGGTCATTTAGTGATTTGCATTGTATGAGTATTAGTGATTGGGGGTAAAGTGTGTTTATGTTTGAGGGCTTGGTGGGTTAGTAATTGGGAATGTAATGTGGGTTAGTGATTGGAGGTGTACAGTGGTCAGTTATTGGGGGAACAGTGGACTGTGATGGGAGGGATTGCATATAGTATGAGATAATTCGAGGTTATACACTTTGGAGGGTATGAATATTATTTAAATGGAGAAAGACTGCAGAAAGCTGCAGCACAGACAGATTTGGGTGTTATCGTGCATAAATCACAAAGGTAGCATAGAAGTTCAGTGGGTAATACAGAAGGCAAATGGACTGTGGCTTTATTTCAAAGGGAATGGAGTACAAAAATAGGCAGGTCTTGCTAAAACTATGTAAGGAACTAGTCAGACCACACCTATAATACTGCGAACAGTTTTGGTCGCCTGATCCGAGGAAAGACATTCTGGCATTAGAAGCAGCCTAGGGAAAGTTCACCAGGTTGATCCTGGGTATGGAGGGACTTCCTTATGTGTAGAGGTTGAGGAAGATGGGCCTGGACCCATTGGAGTTTAGAAGAGTGAGAGGTGACTTCAATGAAACACAGGGGACTTGACAGAACCGATGGCCGAGAGGTTGTTTCTCCTAATGGGAGAGTCTAGGATTAGAGGGCATGATCTCAGAGTAAGGGGTTGCCCATTTAAGACAGAGATGAGGTGGAATTTCTTCTCTCAGAAGGTAGTGAATGTGTGGAATTCTTTAGTACAAAGAGCTAAATAAACTAAGTTGTTAAGAATTTCAAGGTTGAGATAAGACAGATTTTTAATCAGTAATGGAATCAAAGGCTATGGATTTGAGACTGGAAAGCGAATTATCAGATCAGTCATGATCTAATTAAATGGCAGAACAGGCTCAATGGGCTGAATGGCCTACTTTTGTTTCTGTGTCTTATGTCTTATGGGGTATGGTGGACAGTGATTGGGGTGTACAGTAAACTAGTGATTTGGAGGTATGCTTCGTCATTGACTGAAGGGGAGAAGGTGGTACATTTTAATTGGGGGAGTACAGTGTGTTTTCAATTGGGATCCATTGATAGGGTGTTTCAGTGGGCAGAGTGTTCAGTGGATTAGTATTTGCGGGTAACAAAAGTATTCTGAGATGTGGGAAGCTTGAAGCCTTGGTGTGATGGAAGCCCTTTGTTTTGACACCGGACTGTGAAGGTGATGTCTCTCAGGGACATGTTCCAGAGACATGACCCTCCAAGTTGATATGGGAGATTCTGGTGCTAGGTAAAATGACCAGTCATAGGTCAGAACACAGAGACTGAAAATTGAGAAACCCTCTCAGCCTCAATTTTATAATATAGAAACTCAGTCTTTCCTCAATGTGTTCAATCTCTTTTTCAGGGTCAATGTTGAGGTTATTCTGTACAAAGAACATGGTGCTGCTGAGCATACCAATTGCATACAGTGGTAAGTAAGTGAGAGTACGGCAATGGATGAGTGAACGTATAGCAGGAAGTGAGAAATACAGACTGCATTTTGTGAGAATTGATATCTGACAATTAAACTGTACCAGCAGAGCAGTGGGTGATGATGGCTCCTCCACCCCCACATTGTCCCAGACCTCTTCTCCTGACACTGTCCCCATCTCTTACCTACTCCTACACTGCCTTCACTTCCACCACCCCTCACATTCATCCCCAACACTGACCCCACCCCACATTCCCTCCCCTCACTCTGACATTGTAAGGGACTGAGTTTGGTATCAGTCTGATCAGGTCCCTAAAGGACATAGATCCACCATGTTTCAACCACATTAGCAATTAGGGACCAAGAAGGACAACTGATGAGGAAAGTTAGATTATTATGTTCAAAAAGTAGTGAAGAAAGAGCTTTACTTTGTACTTTACTTGTGCTGTACCTGCTGTCATAATCTTGGTGGGTCAGTCTCTGGTTAATTTTTATTTTGGGGGTTTTGATGTTCCAGGCCTGGTGCTGACCTTTTACAGTGGGGTGTATGGAACATGCATTGGAGCCACCAGACAGTTTGGGACAATGGCCAAGGGTCTGATTGGTCTCTCAGGGATATTCATTGGCATTGGAGAAATTCTTGGTGAGTATGAAAAAAATACCAGGGCCACAAAGAGCCCGCAAGCATGGGAGAGAGGTCAGAGAAGGTTACATGTTGGGCAACAGTGTAAAAGGTTGTATAGAGGGTGGGCAAAGTAGCACAATATAAAAATTGAACCAGCACATTCTCTGTGAAATTAGGAATCAGAAAAAGTTGTGAAAATCTGGATTCTTTCTCCTACGTGGATATAGGTCATCTTGAATCTAACTGAATAGCAGAAAAAAGGCTCAATGGGTTAACTGGTCTCCTCATGTTCCTGTCAGATCAATGGTCCAAATGACTTCTTTGGTTAGTATGAACTGGTGGAAAGTGGGAAAGCACGGGGTTATAGACCACAATCTAATTCACAATAGTTCCTCATTCATTGCTGTAAGTTCTCACAGATATTCACTAATGATTGCACAATATTCCCTACCATTCATGAAACCTTAGTTGAAATAGACCATGACCAAAATGTATCAAGACAAGACACAGGCTTGGGCTGATAAGTGGCAAGTGTCGTTCACGCCACACAAGTGCCAGGCAATGACCATCTCAAACATCACCAATTCACATTTAATGCCATGACTGTTGCTGAATCCCTCATTATCAACATGCAGGGGATTCCCATTGACCAGAACTGAACTGGACCAATCACATGAATGCTGTAACTACAAGAACAGGTCGGAGGCTGGGAATGCTGTGGAGTAATTCACCTTCTGTCTCCTCAGTGTCTGTCCAACATTTACAAGGCACAAGTCAGGTGTATGATGGAATGCTCTCCACTTATGCGGATAGTGCAGGTCCAACAACACACAAGAAACCTGACACTATCCATAACAAAGTAGCTTGCTTCATTGGCATCCCATTCGCCATCTTTTACACTTAGTTGCTTCACCACTGACACACAGTGGTAGCAATTGTTACTATCTACAAGTTGCACTGCAGCAATATGCCAATGTTCTTCAAGAACACCTTCCAAACCTGCGATTTCTACCATCTAGAATGTCAGGGGCAACAGATACATGGGTACATCACCAGCTACAAGTTCTCTTCCAATTCGTTTACCATCCTGACTTGGAACCAAATCCATTCCTTCACTGTTGCTGGGTCAAGATCCTGGAACTGCCATCCTAACAGCATTGAGAGTGTACCCACTCCCCAGGTATTGCAGCAGTTCAAGAAGCAATTCACCACCACCTTTTCGAGGGTATCTAATGATGGACAATACATGCTGGCCCAGCCAGTGATGCCCACATCCCATGAACGAATGTAAAATGAAGGTCAGCACTTTTTTTGTTTTTTGTTAAGAGCAAGTTGTGGTCTGTGGTGCTAAAAATCAGAAAGGGACCTCCTTGTGTCCCCCTAGAATGAGCATTTAGGTAATCTTAGTAGGGTGCAGGGTGATTGCCTTTAGCTCATTAAGTCCCTTCAGAAAATCTGCTCACTTGGCCCATTTAGAAATGCTTGAGTAGCTGGATATCAATGTTGTGTTCACATGGTAAATCTGTGTCTCTCTGTTACAGGGGGTGGGATCTTTGGGCTGCTGTGTATCAATAATCAGTTCCGACGTACTTCAACAATCCTTCTCGGAGTCATTGTGCATTTTCTGGCTTTCTACCTGATCTTCCTTATAATCCCAGGTGATGCTCCAATAGGGGATGCAACCAGTGCTCGCTTTGAGCCCTACCTGTTCCCCAGGTAAGATCTGCAAAAATGACCATACAAAACTGATGGACTGTGACAAAATTCCAGCTGGCTCACCTTAAGGAAGAAAGCCTGCCATCTTTACCAGTCTGGACTTAGATGTGGCTCTAGACCCACAGCAATGTGACTGAATCTTCACTATCTTCTGAATTGGCCTGTCAATTCTTATACCATTATTGTACCAATTGTACCATTGTGCCATTAGCCAGTGGTTCAAGGTGAAGTAAAAACCAAAAAAACTGAGGATGTTGTAAATCAGAAACAAAAACAGAAATTGCTGGAAAAACTCAGCAAATCTGGCAGCATCTGTGGAGAGAAATCAGAGTTAACGTTAGATTAAGGACATGGGAGAGCTCAAGCCCTAACGTTATTGAACTGAATATTGAGTCCAGAGCGGAAAATGAGGTGCTGTTCTTCCAGCTTGTGCTGAGTTTCGCTGGAACACTGCAGCAAGCCTGAGATGAAGATGTTGACCAGGGAACAGGTTGAAGTGGCGAAACAAAAACAGAAATTGCTGGAAAAGCTCAGTAGGTCTGGCAGCACCTGCGGAGAGAAATCAGAGTTAACGTTTC